TTTACTTAAATTAAAATTTTAATTAACTTACTTTACTTTCTTGTCTCGTTGTACGGCCGAACGGACGGGAGTGTACGGTACGTAGACACTATATATATATATATATATATATATGTGTGTGTGTGTGTGTGTGTGTGTGTGTGTGTGTGTATATGTATTAATTACTCAAACATTCAGAGAGTAATATGAATTTGAAATATTATTTCAAAGAAAAGACAAAAGTACTCTTACAATACAAGTTTAATTAGCTTCCTCAGTTTTGAGCAGTGTATTAAAATTCTCTAAAACAATGGTGTAGAAACCAACAGATGCATAGATCATATCACAGACAACCTTAAATTATCATAAGTACTCTGAAATAAACTGAAGAGCTAAGGTTTGAGATGTACCACTCCAAAACAAAGGCTGTCATTTTGACTGATCTTGTAACCACCATATAACCATGAAAATATACATACTATAACCTTTAATGTAGTAAGTTTATCAAATTTTTTAATAAAGTAATTCAATGAAAGACTTGTCTATTAATTTATGAAGTCAGAGTCTGACTCAGACTTTGACTAGTCTGAATGCAAGGAAACTTCCATGTTAACAAACAAAAAAATTAACCTTATAGTTTTTAAATTTAATTTTCATAACCTCTATTATGCTTTAAATGAATAAGTTTTTCAGTAAAACTAACTGTATCATCTTTGTCATGTGCAATCTTGTAACCACCAAATAAAAAAAGATTACAAATTAAATCTAAATTACCTATTTTTTTTCAATGACTACACATTGTAACAGACAATTACACATTATTAATTTTTACAGACAAATCTAATTGACTTTTTTACTTTTCATTTAGTTTTATTTCTTTACAGTTGCACTTAGACCCTCTCAGATAATAGTGATAGTCTTTTATTACCCCAGACAGCTATGTGTAAACAAATGATCGACTTACCATCATGCACGCTTGTATTACACAAGCACATTTTGTGCACTGGGTACTACATAGCATTTTGTTTACTTGACTTTATTCATGTTTCTTTTTCTAACTTCACAAGTTTTTCATTTTTACATTTTAGTTATTTTTATAACACTAAATAGAAAATATACATAAAAAACAAGACATTTATTATTTACATCTGAAATCCTGTTTTATCAAACTTTTTCTGCACTCATGTCATGGTGATATTGACAGAAGTCACGTCAATCTCTAGGCCTAACTTTCAGTAATGATGAAGTGGTCTCAGAAATTTTTTTTGTTTAATTCAAATATGAAATTTAGAATACAAACTATTGCCATGAACATAAAATAGAATGTCATGAAACTAATATAATTTATCTGGTTTTCTAAGCTAGTAAACATATAAATGGAGTTTTATTGACTCTATTTTATGGTAATTGACTCCAATTTGGCAGTATTACAGGTCATATAATTCACATACCTAGTCAAGTAGAGTTCAAACAATGGCAAACAAACAAAATAACGTCTAACTGTTCAAAATCTGTTATCTCAATAGCTTCAGGCCCCATCACATTCAGTAAATTTAAATATTATCTTTCTACTGGTTAAGAATAATCCAGTAGTAAATGTCAATGAGAACTAAAAATACTTTTGGAAAACAAGAGCTGCACATGGTATGCGACCTTCAATCTATTACTTATACCTCCATAAAGTTAAAACTTTGTTGCTACAAACTGACAGTTTAACCCTGGGATATGTACTGTATAAGTGTGAAATTAAGAGGTCATATAGGAGTAGAAAATTTTTAAATGAGCAACACTGAACAAAGAAGTCTCATACAATAAAACTGAGAATATATTTAAACAATTTCTTTTGAAATTAGAAAACTTAAACTTATATGATATTGAAGTTTAACGATATACATTGATAATAAAGTTGTTTAACACTTTTGCCACAGGCATCTTTTGATGCACGTCATGAGGTTTTAGTGAATTACTTTCAAAATTTAATTATACTACTTTCTTATCATGGTATGCAAATAAATTTTGCATAAAAATGCAGCTAATAATCCATATTTTAATAGCATACAAGTTTTAAGTTCTTACAAGGCAGTATTCCCCCTAGAATGAAAATTGTGACATTTTCTCTAATTTATTTATTACTCCTCCAAGAAATATGAAATCTAAGGTAAATTACTTATTATAATGTTGTCATTACTCAGGCAAAGAATAATTTTTATAGCCTTCAATCCTATTTAGTTACAGAGCCATCAACTAAAAAATCAGACTCCTCTTGCCACACCCACCTGTCACAGTTTCTCTTTCAGAAATTGCCAATAGTTCTCTCTGATGTTTAATACTATATTCTTTATAACCAATAGAAAGCCAAGGTTTTAATCTATCAAATAACATATTGCATTACATTGTAGAGAGAATTGCTTATTTTGCTTCCAATTCAAACTTTATTCCCACAGGAAACACAGTGACGAGATTAACTGAATTTTTAACGGCTCTTATTGCATATTTAGAAAGCCAGAAAAATGTTGGTAGTTATGGGACATCTGCTTTTTGCATGTGATTATTCTGTGTTCTTTTTGCATGTTATTATTCTGTGTTCTTTGGTGCATTATTTAATTAGATAAAAAATTGTTTAGTGCAGTAGTACAATTAGTATAAAAAGTAAGTTAAGTGGCACTGAAAGTTGACAGCAAAAAAAAGAAAACGAAGACCCAGGTAAGTACTATATTTCTTATTTTTCATGAGTATTCTTTATCTATTATTATAAAAGTAACTAAAATGTACAAATTATAAACTTTTCAGGTTAGATACGGTAAACTAAAGAACATTAACCCATTAACTGCAGCAGGAGAACCTCAGTTGCCGTTTTCTGACTCGCATATAAAACTGAGTTGCCATCAATCACAATAAAACCGTAATTTTCATCATTCGCATAGAGTTATAGTTATATATGTGCGACTGACGAATATTTCCACCATTCGTAGCTGAACCATAGAACTTCAATGATGGAAATATCCATCATCCTCAGTTAATGGGTTAATAATAATAACAAATTTTCAGAAGATGAGCTGGCAAGCAGCTCATGCATTATGTAATTTGATATACTAACGTGAACTACACATTTCCCAAATGATTTATAATGTGTGTTTTTCTTTTAGCAAAGCCACACAGGGCTATGTGCTGTATCCACGTTGTCCCAATGGGGGACAAACTTCAAGATGAGGTTGTTATAACATTAATAAAAGACAAATGATATACCTTAGATTGTATTTTTGAAACAGAATTAATGTCTCAAAAAAACATTTAGTTGGTATGTTCTAGTTTTGTTTTCTTTGTTTACCAGTAATATCTTATCATTTTCCATTTCATTAGATTGTTCATACATGTATTTCATTAAGGGGTCTGAAATTCCTGGATCAGAAGATTATAACCTCGTTTATTAGTTTTGGAATAATATACTTTATTCTCCATTCCAGCATATTACCTCAACTATTTACAGACACTTAACAATAGTTTTAGATTCGGTTGTAGCAACTTGCAAACATCTTGTAAAAATATAAATGGATATATAATTCACATAATTTTACTATTTCTTGTTATTACCAGTTTATTCATGAAAACTGTGAAAAATGTACTAGCACACCAGATTGAGAACTGAAATATTTAAATACAATATGACATGATACATAAATTTTCAAATTTTACACAAAGTATTTAAAAAATAACAATTTAGATAAGGCAGGAAAAAATACTTACTCGTAAGTTTTTATGAACAACAGAGTTGTTATGAAGATAATTTAAAGCCTCCAATATTCCACAAGCATAGTGTCTTAGCATTGATGATTCTAAAGGAATGTTTTCGTAAAGGTAGAGTGATAATGTACTTCCTGAAACATGTTGTTGTAAGACCTATGGCAAAATGAAAACACTTTTTTTTAAATATATATATATATATACTAACAAATAAATAAATATGTGAAATAATAAAAATGACTAATAACTACAGTTTAAACAAGGCTGTTCCCCTTGGACAACCAAACAGCTTTCATATTCATTCCACATTTCATACTGTTGTCATAAAAGGAAAAGCCTTAAAATCAAAAGACATTATTGGTCTTAGTTATTTTATAAAGAAATATGCCAGACACTTCACAGTTTATTGTTGCATTATTGTTTGTACTCATGGTTAATTTTCTGTTCTTGTTAAAAGATCATTCTGCTGGGTCAGACTTCAAGTTATGTCAATGATAAGAAACTAACAAAACTTACTATAAAATGAGTTATTTCATTTGGATTACAGCTGGGCAATTAACAAAGTCAATCAGTATAATCTATTATTTATGAGCATTGATTTGTGTTTTGTAAAATAATTCATTAAAAATTTTGAGAGTTAAAGTCACAAAAATAATCCACTAATCAAAATGTTACCATTATGTTTTTTTGTTAAAACACAAAGCTACACAATGGCTGTGCTCTACCCATTGCAGGTAACAAAACACAATTTTTAAATAAGTTTTTCCTATCCATTACATGCGAGTATAATCAATTAGTTGAATGCAAGTGATTTATGAGCTTGATGAGTAATCAATTATCATAGTCTACTAGTCATCTAACTCTAATTGCAATAGGTCAATAATTTATTTTCAGTTTCAACAGTCTAATGTGATGATTTGATTAAACTAAAATTGTGACTGGTAGTAATATCATTTTATTTTTTGTCTTTGAAACTTAATAAATTCATATGTCAAATTCACAAGTAATATTTAATCAAATAAACAATTATCATAAACAAACTGATTCCATTCAAGCAGCTTTTGTTACTTCAAAAAATATATTAACAAGTTTCAATTACATATAAAATCAGTTTGACTGTGTTTCTCAGCTGAGGTGATTCATAAATGCACCCTCACTGTCATATCTCATTTGTTGTAACAGCAACAATAAGACCTTTGTTTGAATATGAAATATGGAAACAAGCAGGCTTTAAAAAATATTAGGAAAATGTCACTAGCTATGTTGATTATCTACTGAAGTTGGAGTGGTCACTCAACAGTGTTTGTTCAAAGTCAACTTGTACAGAATTGTACAATCATAATGGACCTACCTCAATTTTAACACCTGCTCAATGCCATACTCAAAGAATGTGCATGTCAGCAATACAAAAACTAAAACAAATGCAGTAAATTAAAAGAAGAAAGGTGAAACACAAAGATGATGACAAAAATTAGTTTAAACATAATAGTCTAGAGCAATATAACCTTCACCAACTCTTCAAATGAATGCTTAATACACATGAAATTTATTATTTTGAAAATGTATCTGCAATAACTTAACAGGTGCATTACCTTTATATTAGCTATAGCATAATGCAGTAGATTTGCTTCCATACAATTTAAATAACGACTTGTGAGACTCCCAGTATCTCAAGGATAAATGGACAAGTGGATACTTGTGCATACATCTTGGTTTTCTTGTATAATGTTACCTTTTATGTAATTCTATTCCTGTAATGCACCTGTGCTTTCTTTTTTCAAAAAAATATCATTTCGTAGATCATATTTTCTTTTTTTCTTTAATGACATTTAGCATTCATGTCAAAGACGAAAAGTTAAATTTAGAATGCATGATAGTATCAATTACATGGAACAAAGAGGTTTCACTACAGTTTTGAACCATTAGTTAACCTAGATGAACAGTTTATATTCAATGTTTCCAGATTTCTATGCCCTTTAAATGACAATGCATTTTTACATGAATACGATTTTTATCTAAAATAACTGATTATATTTTTTGAATGAAAATTATAAATGAAAAGTATCTATCTTATAAAAAAAATTAGATTGTTTATTTATTTATCATGCAATCCTAAACCAACAGTGACAGTATGGATACAATGAAAATAAAGATACATCAGTTCAATCAATGATGATATTTATAAATTTAGCATCTGTCATTTAACTTCACACTTCTTTATAATTACTTTATTTCTAGAATGTTTGTCTTTCATTATTATATACCTAATTACATTTACAATTATTGCATACATTACAATTGGTAACCCTTCTAGAATATTTTGGTTTCTATCACATTTAGAAAATTATTTAAATGACAAATTCAATTGTTTTATTTTTTCCTACACTCCCAATCCAATGTAACTCACGAAAGTACATGGGTATTCAAAGGAAAATTAACCATCATCATATTTAAATATAATTTTTCCATTTATCATTTAATTATATATGAAACATATGCTTCAAAATTTACAATTAAATCTTCATGAAAAATTATATCAGAAAAAAAACAACATGAAATCCTTTTATAATTTATACTTACATACAATGTTTGCAAAATAACTATAATATATTTTTTTAAGATTAACATTCAGCAAAGAAGATTAGTGAAGTAACATTTAACAAGTCATATAATTCTGCTGGCATTGACTAGTCAAGTTACTAAAAAAAAAACAAATGTTTAACACTGGAGAAGTAGTCCTTGATAGACTATTGCTATTTATACACAAAATTTTTACATAATTCATAATCTGTTGAATGAATAAAAATACAAATTACTTCATACTTTAAATTTTTCACATTCCATAAAAACCTTATTGATAAAATATATTAAATTATAACATTTCAATATAATTGATTAAATTATATTTCATACTTTAGCTTAGGTTATAAATATTTTACTTACAAGCTTAGTAAAGCTATCAAAATTTATATTCAAGAATAGGATTGTAGACATTAAAAATACACTATAAAATTAACTATATTTTTTTAAAAGAACAATATTTTTAATTCACAAAGTGCTGTTGTCTTTACTGTATAAAAGAAACTCTTTAGTTTTGTTTAAAATGTCCAGTCATATATATTTGCATGTTTGTGTGTACATACATATAAACACTACTAAAAAATTCTTGTGAAAAAATTACCAGGAACTTGTATTTTATGAAGTGATAAGAAAAACATTTCAGAATGCAGAAATTATGCATGCAGTTAATGCTGTTAATATTTTTATGTTATTGATGCAAGAAAAATATGTTACGAGAACCTTATCTGTAAGATATAAAATTATTATTTTAAAAAGTTAGAGGTACATTACATAAAAATGCTATTACAACAATTGTTTCTGAAGTTTCTTGCCAGATGACTGATTATACTGGGTTTCAATATCAAGTCTACAACTAAATAAAAAATATTTTTATATTATAATTACAGAAATAAAAACAAAAATTCAACCATCTGCTACAGTAACTTACTATATACTTCTAGTTTCTACTTCCATGATACACTGACCAAGCCAAGCAAAAGACTGAAAATAAGCCTGATTTTCAAACCTCTTTTCTGATACTCTCCCACATAAACAGCAGTGATGCCCGAGGTATGTAATTGTGTGTGTGTGTGTGTGTGTGTGTGTGTGAATACAATAGTACATTTGTTTCTTTTCTTGCACTAACAGGAAAAATGTACAGTTTAAAATATTTAAGTATGGAGCAACGTGTCATTATGGTAAAGAATATAAAACCATATAATACTTATGAAGATTACAAATTACTAATTCAGTTATAACAATTATTTTGCAACTATCAAGGCATCACAGTTCAACATGTACCTTTTATGCTTGGTCCCGAAAATATTTTAAGATATGTGACATACAGTGATGGTCACTCAACTTTCCAAGTGGAGCTTTTGAGGATAAAGCATCCTCTACTGAATTGAAGTTCCATGATACAATATAAAACACGTATTTTCAATGGAAACAAATAAACTTTATGGACTATTTGTTTGAGACATGAAATGTTAAATACTGCAGCATTGAATCAAGAGTAAAATACTGAAACAGATCATCATAAAGTTTAATTTGAAAATTCTCCATAAACTTATTTTCTGGAAATTTTTCAAAATGCTAACGATTTTTCTAATCATAATTTCTCAACAGCGATAACAGTATATCCCAAGTTTGATTAATCAACAATTTTGGAGTTCAAGCAAAAAATACTTCCAAACTTTACAAAAACAAATATGTACAGTACTATGGTTAAAATAGTTTTAAAGATCCATGTGTACAACTTCCTAATCTTGCAACAAGGATAACGAAGCTATACGCATCACAGTATTTCATGTGAAAGATGAAAGATCCTGAAAACATCCGAAAAGTTTCAGATGTGTCTAATATTACAGGAGAATATGAATGTTATCTTTTACAAAACTGTCTTTAGATCTCTAGTATTGATATTTCATAGATACTACTATTTCTGATTTAATAGTTTAGATTTATGTTTATTTTAGATTAAACATTTGAAAATTCTGTGTTGATTTGAAAAAGATAACCATTTCAGCTGTACATCTCATAGGATAAACCTACATGAATAACTATTTTGTCCTTCTCAAGCACGTATTTCAATCCCAAATAATGAACCAGGTTTCTATGGCAAAGTCGAATCAATGATCCAAACTCCTGTTCTATGCTTGAAATCTATAAAAATAGAGTTGCAATCAAATATGGATACTTAAATTCATAACTTATTATAGTAAATTACTAATCCATCACAAAAGCAAATTAAAATTAAGGTTATTGGCAAACACTCTTATTGAAAGCTATTACGAGTGGAAAGAATGGTTTATAGCTTTCTCTGATGCCTCTCTTTTGTAAAAATACTATATTTCTGTTTGTTTTTCTACCATACATTTTGTAAGAAAGCAAAATGACATCACTGAATAAAAGTAGTCATCATACTTCTTCAATGAATCACAATTTATAAATTGTTAAGTTTACTTATATTAGACAAGCATTATACTCTCTCTCCCCCTCTCTAGTCCGGATAGTAGTCAGATACGGTTCAAAGAGCATTAAAAGGACAATGAAACAATAGAATTTAATTATAAATAGATGTCTACTGTTATAAACTTAGAGCAACTTTGGATAAACAAATGTAGTTTCATGTTACAATTTCAATTTATAGAGAGAAAAAAGGGTAATTTAGGTTTATTTCAATTTTTTTTGGTGGTTATGTAGTCGGTCAAATTGACCAATCCAGTTGTGAGATAGGGTAGAGAAAATAACAGATACTCTATAAAGTTTTACTGAAAAAATCGCTAAAACCTCCTAAATGCATTTCAAAAGATTACACAAAGGAAATTTGAGATTTTTGAGATGAGGAAGAGTATTTTTAATTTTAACATGAAAATTAATTTGCACACAAGACTGTTTAAGACTAATACTCAATATATTCATGGACAAATCTTTATTTTATTTTATTAAAAATGCCTCACTAAAAAATATGATTTGGCAGTCTTTCAGATACAAAAAGTAGCTCTAAGTTCAAAACAGTATACATCTATTTGTAATTAAATTTTATTATTTTATTGCCCTTTGAACCATTTCTAACTATTATCTGTGCCATTATAAGTTTTAAGTCGCTTCGAGAACATGCAGCTCATGTTATGCTAACCATTTTAATTATATTATTATTACTACTTATTTTACCTAATCTAGTTATAAATAACTTTAAAATATCCATATTTATGGATTTTAGTTGCTTTTATAATGATAAATAAAGAATAAATATGAAAAACAAGAAATAAAGTACTCACCCAATCTTCTTTTTTTTTATTGCTCTCGAGTTTTTGAAGAGAGTTAACCCTAATTTTCTATACTAATGATAGTAATGCAATTAATAATTTTTATTGAATTAAACAATGCACCAAAGAACATATACTAATAACATGTAGACGATGTACTCTAACCCTCAAATTGTTTCTGGCTTTCTAACCATGCAACAAGAGCCGTTACAAATTCATCCAAGTCAGTCGTTAACTTTCCCACTTATTTTACCTAATCTAGTTATAAATAACTTTAAAATATCCATATTTATGGATTTTAGTTGCTTTTATAATGATAAATAAAGAATAAATATGAAAAACAAGAAATAAAGTACTCACCCAATCTTCTTTTTTTTTATTGCTCTCGAGTTTTTGAAGAGAGTTAACCCTAATTTTCTATACTAATGATAGTAATGCAATTAATAATTTTTATTGAATTAAACAATGCACCAAAGAACATATACTAATAACATGTAGACGATGTACTCTAACCCTCAAATTGTTTCTGGCTTTCTAACCATGCAACAAGAGCCGTTACAAATTCATCCAAGTCAGTCGTTAACTTTCCCACGGGAACAATGTTGGTACTCTGAGTGAAATTGATATCTAACTGTTCAGAACATAATGTTATAAAATACGTCACTGGATAGATAAAAAGCTTCACTTTCTATTGGTTATAGGTAATATATAATGACGCGTAAGAAAGAACTATCAACGAATTCTGAAAGAGGATGTGATAGGTGGGTGTGGCAGGATGGGTATGATTTTCTATTTGATAGCTCTGTAATCAAATAAAATTGAAGGCTATAAAAATTATGGTTTGTCTGAGTAATAATGATTTTTATAGAGAGTAATTTATGTTTAATTTCGTACATTTTAGAGGGGTGGTGGATAAAATAGGGAAGGTGACATTCTAAGAAAAAATGTGTCACGTGGGTCACACTCGGGAAAATTCAGGATTTTTTTTAATATTGCTTTGTACAATTTAGAACTTAAAACTTGTATACTATTAAAGTATGGATTATTATCTAATATTTTATGCTATTCTAATTGATATAACATAAACAAAAAGTAGTTTAATATAATTTTGAATGCAAGACACTAAAACCTTGTGTCATGCACAGTAAAGGACACCCGTGGCAAAAGGTTAAAACACAGAACATTGTCTAAAATTTACAAGAAAAAATGTTTTAAATTTAAGTAACATTACTGCAGGAACCAAATCCAATTATTACAGAAAATGTTTTCATGAAAAAAATAATTTTAAAAATATATTTAAGCATATAATTATCATCAAATAAACAGACCTAATACAAATATGTAAACCATGTTACCTAACACATTTCTACTTTTGACTTGCTTATGCATTTTTGACAAGAAACAGAAGCTCAATGATCCATTTCCAAACTTAACATCAAAATTTAATGAAAACAAAGATTTCATTTTAAACTAGAGTTTCACTGTTGTTTAAACGTCAGTAATTAAAAGCCATCAAAATCATAAACCTGTTTCAAATATGCTGATGCTTCTTTATGAAATACTTCCATTTCAACTGATGTAGGTTTACGACCTAGATGTCTCCATTTTATAACCCATTCTGTAATAGTCAGAAGCTCTCCAGTATTTGTGTCCATCCCAACAAATACTACACATCCTCTAGGACTATGGCCTACAATGAAAAGGGTAAAAGCATATAGATGTTAAAAAAATATACCGATGTACATAGTACATAGGTAATTTTAAGTACCAAATTCTAGTCTCATTAATACATTTCTGCATGCGGAAAACTCAACGCAACATGCTTAGGATGAATAATATTGCTTAAGTAGATGTATGACAGCTGCATAGTTACACACAAGTATAAGCAAAACTCTGAAATAAGGACAAGTTATTAAAACTTACATAAACATAGAATTAATGTTTGCATTAATTCTGAGCTTGTTATGAACAAATTGAGAAGTTTAAAAAAAGATAAGACTCCTGGGCCAGATAATATTTCACCAAGGTTTTGAAGGAGGTTAAAGATTGGATATGTGAGCCACTGCTATTATTTTTTGTCAGTCCTTGAATAGTTGGGAGTTAGTTAATGTAACTCCTCTTTTCAAGGTAGGTGATAAAAATTGTCCGAGTAATTATAGACCCATTAGTCTCACATCAGTTGTGGGAAAATTTTGGAAAGTCTATTAAAAGATGCTTTGCAAAGCCATTTAACAAAGACTAGAATATTATTGGATAGTCAATATGGTTTCACTAAGGGAAAATCTTGCCTAACAAATCTTTTAACATTCTTTGCCAAGGTTACTGCTTTGGTAGATGAGGATAAGGGTGTAGATTTGGTGTATCTGGATTTTCAGAAATCATTTGACAAGGTGCCACATAAAAGGCTTGTAAGAAAAATTAGATCTAAAGATGTGGGGGATAAGTTACCAAATTAGATAGAAGAGTGGCTAGATGGAACAAAGCAGAGGGTTGCTATAAATGTAGTTAAGTCAAACTGGATTAATGTCACAAGTGGGGTATCTCAGGGCTCAGTCTTAGGACCTTTTCTCTTTTTGATTTACATCAATGACATAGATGAAGGGATAGTCAATAAATTACTTAAATTTGCAGATGTTATTAAGGTCTTGAGTGTTTCTAGCTCAGAAGAGGATGCTGCTGATTTACAAAAGGATTTAGATCATTTAGTGAGTTGGGCAAATAAATGGCAAATGGATTTAAATTATAATAAATGCAAGATAATGCATGTGGGTTATCATAATTTGATTTATAAGTATAATTTGAATGGAAATAACTAACAGTAATGAAGGAAAGGGATCTTGGTGTAATAGTCAATCAGTCATCCAAGCAAGTGGAAGGGCAAATAGGAATTTATCTTTTATCTACAGAATTACTGAATACAAGGCCAAAGAGGTTGTAATTTCATTGTATAGGTCACTGGTTAGGCCACATATGGAATATTGTGTTCAGTCTTGAGCTCCTTACCTTAGGAAGGACATTGAATTGTTGGAAAGGGTTACTAGAATGGTGCCTGAGATGGAGGGGTTGTCTAATGAGGAGAGCCTGAAATCTCTCAAATTGTTTTCTCTTGAAAAAAGAAGAGTTAGGAGAGATCTGATTGAGGTGTTTAAGATTGTAAAAGGAATTGATAGTGTTGATGTATCATCTTTTTTATATTAAAAATGACAATAGTAGGACTAGGGGTCACAAATATAGATTTTGGCAAGGAAGGAGTCATCTTCAGCTAAGACCGTTTTATTCTTCTAACAGGGTGGTTGGCCTTTAGAATGGGTTGCCTTCAGATGTTGTAGAGGCAGTAAATTTAAGCGAGTTTAAGAAAAATCTTGATAAGTACATGAATGAAAAGGGATGGGTTAAAAAATTTTTTATTTATGTTTTTAATCATTTTAATTTAGTTTTGAGGGTGGAACAGCCGAGATGGCCCAATAGGTCCCATGTTGTCCCAAAATATTATATGTTATGTTATAAAACCATCAGCTGTAACCTGGATGTCAAGAAGGAGAGAGAAATAAATATTACAAATGGAATCTTGTAACAAAACACAAAAACCTTCAGGTGGAACAAAAACTTTTTTACATTTAATATGTTAAATACCTGAAAATAAAAAAAAGAAATTCAGCATCATCAGGACTTGTGCTGGTTAATTGTTAATCTTCCTTCTTAGAAAAACTTGATAAATCCTAAGAAAAAGAACCAGCTTGTTCTAGAACAGGAGAATGAGGCTGATGACCTATCAAATGGGCATGTAAGAAGCCCTGATGCTCACCAAGGAAGATCACAGAAAACTCAAAATTAATGAGAGACTGCTGAAAAAAGTTTCAAAAGAAGCAGAAGTATTCCTATCATTGATAGAAGCATTAGAAGAATAAGAATTAAAGTAAGTATTAACTTTAGTTTTAGCTTTAGAAATAACATTAACTTCATAGTACATCACAAGTAAAGAAAAATATCATGTACAATATAATGAGAATGACTGTCAACAATGAAATCTGAAATATTGCAGAAAAGTAGAGCTTACATAAGATTTCCTACAGCATGTCCAAGTCATATGAAAAATTGGATAATTTTGTGTAAGTGATGCACACTCTGCAATACATAAAGGACATTCAGAGTTTTTAGTCACATTTGTTGACAGCATGAAAGACTACTTGATTTGACTGTGAATTTCAACAATGATTAATGTAATTTATACCATACTTTTATGTGTGATACATTTTTTAATTTAAAATATCAACAAAGGTAAGGATAAAAATTCTGCTTTTATACTGCTGTGTTGTTGTTGATATTCAAATTAATATGAATGTTGTATAATCTTTATAGATTGATTCTCTCACTACAGGCTCAGTCAGTTTAACCGAGTAATTGGTCCCAAACTGACCTTTAGAGTTTCCATACAATAACTTCTAATATGTTTTGTATATCTTCACAAAATTTCATAAGCTTTTAGTAAACATAACAAGTCATTTGTAGACAGAAAAAGTCAGAATTTTTAATGAAGTATTTTCACTCAAAATTTCTCCATGAACATACAGAGTCCAATTGTTGACTGCTCCAAGTGCAAAGTAATTTTCATGTGAAGAATAAATTACTTTTCTCAAATTTCATTTGTATAATCTCTAAAACCTCCTAAATAAATTTCAAACGTTTTTTTTTCAGTAAAACTGCATTTTATCTGTTATATTCTCTATTCTAACTCTATACGAGGTTCATCAATTTGACCAACCTCATAACCACAAAAAAAAATAGATCTAAGTTATCCTCTTTGTCTTTCTAGAATAACATCAACTTGTAACATGAAACTACAATTTTTTATCCTAAATAACTTTAAGTTTGTAACAGTATACACCTGTTTATATTTAACATAAAATTTTATTGTATTATTGTTCTTTGAACTGCGTCTAACTAATATTTGCACCATATAAGTTGTAAATCACTTGGAGAATGTGTAGCTCATGTTACCCTATCAAATTACATAACACACAAGCTGCTCGTGAGTATACTTCATGAAAAATTTTTATTGTTATTATTCTTCAGTTTACCTAGTCTAACCTATAAAGTTTCTAACTTCTATGTTTTAGTTACTTTTATAATAATAGATAATAAAGAATACACATGAAAAATAATGGGTCTTCTTTTTTTTTGCTGTTGACTGTCGATGACACATAACCCTACTTTTTTATATTAATGGTACTACTGCACTAATACTTTTTTATTTAATTAAATAATGCACCAAAGATTGCAGAATAATAACAAGCAAAAAGCAGACAATGTCTCATAACTAACACAATTTTTCTGGCTTTCTGACTATGCAACAAGAACCATTAAAAATTCAGCCAAGCTCTAAAAATTCAGCTAAGCTTGTCAATGTGTTTCTGTGGGAATAAAGTTTGAACTGGAAGCAAAATAGACAATTCCCTGTATAAAAACAGCATAATATAATATGTCATTTGATAGATTACAACTTTGGCTTTCTATTGGTTATAAATGATATAGTATTAGACAGAACTATTGGCATTTTCTGAAAAAAATGTGACAGGTGGGTATAGCAAGTGGGGTCTGATATTCTGTCTTATTCCTCTGTAACTACATAAGATTGAAGGCTATGAAAATTATGCTTTGTATAAGTGATGATAATAGTATAATGAGTAAGTCACATTAAATTTTATATTTCTTGGAGGGGTGGTAAATAAATTAGAGAAGAGGGGATGCCTAGAGAAAAAATATCACAATTTTCACACTAGGAGAAATTCAGAATTTTTCTAAAATATTGCCTTATAAAATTAAGAATATAAAACTTTTGTACTATTAACATCTGAGTTAATAGCTAAGTTTTATGCTATATTTATTTGTATACCATAGTAAGTAGTTTAATTAAATTTTAAATGTAGCTCACTAAAACCTTGTGACATGCTCAGAAAAAGATGCCCATAGTGAGAGGGTTAATTAATAATACTTGATATATATATATATATATATAAAATAAACAAACATGTCTGTGATATTTTGTCAGCATTTTACACACAAGCACGGTCCAGAGCTTATGTTTATTAAAAATGCAAGCAGACCACAGTCAATTGTTTGAAAAACAAAAACAGGAACCATTAATATGTATACAATATCTCAAATACACAATGTACTATTACCCACAGACAACTTAAAAATTCTGAAAATGTTGTTGGAGAAAATGCTAAATTCCTCTTCCTGTCACACTGTATTTTACGAAAAACATATATATGCAAAGACTCCTAACATAATTTTGACAAAGTGTTATTCACCCACCAAGACAATGCCCACGTTGAACGGTTCTTTTGTCTTTATTGTTAAAAGTTAAAACAGAAATTTTTCCATGATCACAGTCTTCTTCACACCTTGAAGTACTTTTTCTACATATAAAAGACAATTTAAAATGTTTAAAGGCCTACTTCTCAATAGAAGCTCAATTATAGGGTATAAATAATACACAAATGAAAGATATACTTTAAACCATAATGTTTTTCAAATGTACTTATTAATTCAGTGAAACAAACTTTGTTTCTTCTCATAAAAAAATATTATTCTTTATTGTATGTAGTTTTGTACTAAATAAAATTCTAAATATTACTGAAAACATTCATGCCTTTTTGAAACTAGCTCAGATGAGCTGAAATTTTAAGGCTGAACACAAGTTTATTTTTTAAATATATTTAGGGAATATATGGCTTTTTAAGATTCAAAGAAAAACTAAATTATTGCAAGAGAACAGATACCTACAAAAGACTAACTAGAACATTTTTAATATTTCAATACACTATTAATAAAAGGCATACATAACTGTATTATTAGCTACAGCAATGAGATTAGTCATTCAGAAATACATCAGAAAAAATGTATTAACTACAGGAAATACCTCTCATTAAATAAATTATCACTTGTCAGCCACAAACCTTTATTGCATGTACAATAGTCTACTGAAGAACATTAAACCATTACAGTTAAATGGAATTTAAAAAACAAATTTGAAAGTATGATATTCTAGCTGTAAATATTTAATAATGTTGACACACACACACATGCTTCAAACGTTTCTCTATGTATGTGAATTTAGGTCCTTCCATTAATGAGATATCAACTTAAAATTAAACAGATATGTGCATATAGTAACCATTTGTAAGACATGATTTAATGTAGTCTCATTTTTCAACATGCAAAAGATGACTAAGAAATATATAAACCACATATACACAAAAAAAGAATCAAGAAACCATAATAAATCTTCATCCCAGCCATACATTTAAACCTACTTTACAATCATGCTTCCTTCTTACCTTCTTGAAGACGTTGGAAGCTTTGGTGTAGGACTGTTACTTTTAGAGCGATTGATCGATGGTGATCTCTCCTTTTTATATTTTTCCACAATCTCTTTATCTTCATGTTCATTTCTTGTGCGACTAGGACTAGCCTGATAAAGCATTTTTAATATTCAAATAATATCTTAACATTACAATATTTCCTAACTGAAGAATTTATGCAAAAAACTGAAATTACAATTACTGGTTAATTAACTACATACAACAAAACTGCAAGTAACATCTAAATATATTTTCTCAAACTAATTTTATGCTCAAATGTATTTGTTCTAATACTAACTGAAGAAAACTTACAATATGCATGTATTGTTTACATAATATGGCACACATTAATTTATCTAATCAATCAATTAGGGCAACTCAAAATGAAAAATATTTTTGATCTAGAGGCCAACTCATTGAAAGTTTTAAAGCTTATTAAATATACTGACAAATATGTCTTCTAATTTCCTATGCTGTAGAGCTTATAAAGACAACCATTCATTACTTTTTTAATGATGTAATAAACTGTTCAATGCACAAAACAGTTAGAAGTCTGCCAGTGGTTCAGTAAGTTTAAAATGTATAGTGTTAATGCTATAGTATCACAGGTGTAGAAAGTGTAGAAATTGATACATCCACCAATGCTCATTTCTGTCCACATCATACCATACACAAGCCACTTTTTTACATGACTTGTTACTTATGAAAATGGGATTAAATCTAGTTCTATATTCTCTTGAAATAAACATATGCTTGTTTTCTGATTACAGGAGGAGGAGATTGATCTATATAAATAATATTGTACCACATTTTTGGTCCACTGGACATATTTTAGGCACCATTTTAGCTGAGCTCTTATGTTCCTTAAAGCATACTTTGATCAATTTCCTTTACATTTAACCTCTCTCATATGCTTCCATTTTCAACCATTCACATGTCAAAACAACAAACCTATTACACGAGACAAGTTAAAAGTTATGTTGGTCAAAACTATAGCTGGTGACTGTATGGACCTTTTGCTAGGTCCATGCTAATAACTGTATAATGCAATGTTTTTTGGTAATTGTTTTCCTTTCCTTTTCATTAAATAGCAAACAAATTTGAATACTGAATTATTCATTCTTATTCCTTTTGTTTGTTTAATTTTTCAGCTTTTGTTAATTTCTAAGTAATGGTAAAATACTGATGCTAAGGATTATTTAATAGTAATTCAAGATACCAAAATTTGTCATCTGTTGTGAATTTTATACCATATCTAACATCTAAATCATCATAGAAATTAGAATTTACTTTGTGTTTCTAAGATTCATACTAAGATTGATTGGTTAATTTCTGATCATAACTGGAAGTAGAAGTCTGTCATTCTAAATACCAGCCAAGATTCTTACTTGGCATTAGTCAAATATAGAGGAAATGGTAGGATCTGCAACATTTAGCTCACTGCGCAATTAAAAAATTTTAAGTTAACACTGGTAAATTTCTCTATAGAAAACAGTGAAAGGATTGTATAGCAAACACTGTTGCAGTTGCTGGAAATGCTGCCAATTTAACAGATGTAAATACAAACTTTGAACAAGTTACTATGAAGTGGAAAGATAAAAAGATTAAAGCAGAGCAAAGGTGTTCTGCCAAAAGTCACAAAGTTGAGCAGCAAGAAAAGCAATATTTATTTAATTTTTTAATCTAAATTAATGTAATTGTTTGTATTGAATAGGGTAGCATTACAATATTTTGATTGTTGAGGATCTAACATATTTTAAAATTGCCCTGTTGCTATTACTTATAAATACCTTTTACTAATTTAAAACGATTAGGCCTACAGGAGTCTATACTTTGAAGGACAGGTCTTTAAAAAAAAAAGAGCTATTTTAATAAATTCAAAAAAATACACGTTAAAGAAACCTATAATACTAGCAAAATGTATTTCTGATAAATGCTGCAGTTGCAATCGAGTAACTAAAGCAACCAAAGTAAAGTATTGAAACAGACAAGTATGTATTCTTAATTGTGATCAATCTCTTTAAAACTACAGATATAGTAAAAGAACTGAAGAAATTAATAGACAGCAACAACTATCAGTTCTTCTTACTCTGTCCCTCCTAGAGCAATATTAGTTTACCACAAAACTGCAAGTCATTTTGGAAGTCTCCTTAACCCTTTCACTTCCGTACGCAACTTTAGTTGAATTCCAGGTAGAGTCCCGAACATGACTTCAGTTGAATTCCTGACATAGTTCCGTTTACTGGTCTGTAATTTACTCTGTGCTGCACCTGCATGGTTTCTAGGCAACCACAATGTAATTTAGTGTAGTTTCCTTGATCGTGAGTGTTATTTTTGTGAAATTTTTGAGTTATGATCCAATTTGAGGGCACTGACCAGAACCAGGTAAACGTAAACAAAAACAATGGCTTGCCACAGAGGATGTATTGAGCAAAATAATGAGAGATTCAGAGCAGAACTGAGTGAATTTGGCAATGACGATTGCGAAAACCGTAACACAGATACCAATAATGCTGCAAGTAATGAAAATACACATGATGTAGCACATGGGGACAGTGATGATGATGGTAGCCAAGGTGGCATGACTGATGTTGATCATGAGTGGGTCACTGATGATGATTATGACAATTATATCCCAGTTTGGTGCCCAGCTTATGCCAAAAGGCCCAGACCTGTGATTCCACCTTTGACTGATGGTAACCACCCTGTAGATGTTATTCCTTCAGGAAGCATTTGAGCTTATTTGTGAGATGACTAACATCTATGCCCTGGAGTTCTTTGATAATCCAGTGGACCTCCCCAAAAATTCTCGCTACAATGATTGGGTTGAGTGTACTACAGATGAAATCAAAGCCTATGTTGTCTTGCAGATAATGATGGGATTGTATTCCAAGCCAAGGATTAGTGACTACTGGGCATCTGGGGGATACAGCCCAGTCCCCTGGTTATCGAGATGTACTGCCAAACAATCATTACCAGCTAATGTTTGTTCCTTCATTTTTGTGAAAATTCTCAAAGGGTTCCACGTGGAGGGGAAGGATATGATCCTTTGTATAAAATTGCTCCCCTAATGAACATTGTGAAGCCACTGTATAAGCAGTATTACAATTACTTACAATTGATGAATCAATGAGGAAGTTCAAGAGATGAATATACTTTCATCAGTACATACTGAACAAACCTACAAGATGGGTTATAAAACTGTGATCATTGTGTGAGAGCAAGTCGGGTTATCTGTTAGACTGGGATGTTTATCCTGGTAGAGACAACAACCCTGTGGCACTAGAGCAAGGCTTGGGTCATAATGTTGTTATGAAATTGATGGGAAATACTGGATACTTGAACCTTGGCCACCATTTATATGTTAATAACTTCTACTCCAGTCCTGGCCATTTAAAGCCCTCAAAGAAGAGGGTACTGGTGCCTGTGGAACTGTGAGGTTGAATAGAAGGGAACTTCCAGAAGAAATTAGACCAACAAGGTAAAGCTGAAGAAAGGTGATGATCCTGTTTATTACAGATAGTGTGATATGCTTGTCTGCTCCTGGC